ATTGTCTGATGGCACAAATCCACATAAAACCATTAAGATAGTCCATTAAAACACACAGAGAATGGACATCGTGCACATCAGGAACTTGGATATATTCATCCCGTTTGAATTCCAACTCCTGCCCCAGTCCAGCTTCCTATACATGTATCCTATGATGAAGCAAGTGAAGCTGGGATACTTATGACACCTACGTGGAGTTTCTGGTTCCTGGCTTCAGCCTGGCCCAGCCATGGCTATTGTAGGCATTGAAAGCCAACCAGGGGATGCAAGATTCTATTTTTCTCCCTCTCATATCCCTCCCTCTCTCAATTTGTCTCTTCCTATGTCTCCTCTCACCTCACTGCCACTGCCTTTCCATCATATGAGCATAAACAAGCTTTAAGTAAATACCAGATGGTTTCTGTCCTTCCTTAACAAGATCTGAAATGTGGGGATGATGTCATATAGGGAGAGGTTATCAGCATGTAAATCATATCTAAGGCAAAAATTTAGTGACCCTCATATCAAGCAACTTCAAACTGATTTATAAATAATATCTCATTTAATCTATTGTCACATTTACCACTCTATGGATGAGAATTTGAAAAGTTCCTCCCACAGTACAATGGAGACACATGCTGGTAAAGTAACTTAAGATGAGGCCATAAATAAAATAATCTCACTGCCGGAATGTCAACTCCTTGCTGCCTCAAGAAGTACTTTCCACAGCAGGTTAACATAGGCTTTTGGTGCATATGGGTAGGAGACAAAACAGTGTCCAACCAAGTCCTCCATATCCAGGGATTCCACCTCCAGAGTTCATCAACCACAGATAGAAAGCATAATTAAGCCTAAGATGGTTACATCTGTACTGAACACACACAAATCTTTTTTATCATTTCCTGAACAATAGTTTAATAGCTAGTTAATATCATCTTGAAAGTATATGGAGGACATGTATTGCTTATGGGCAACTAATGTGCCAATTTATATAAGGGGCTTAAACATCTTCAGATTTTGTTATTTTTCAAAAGTCCTGGCACCAATTTCCCACAGAAAGCAAAGAACCACTCTGACTTCCAAGACACTTTCTCTGGGCTACTCTTCTCAAAAACAACCCTGAATTCTCAGGAGGCAATAGAATCGGCTTATTTTGCAAGCTTTTATATAAGAAGAGGTATGGTTGACAGTAACTCAATAGCAAAAGAGTTTCCTTTGTTCTTAATCAGCTGCTAATTTACTCTAGTACAGATAATTGAGCTAACTCTTCTCATTTGCCTGGACTCCTTTAAAACGTCCAATGGACTGCTTTCAAGTAGAAAAAAAAATCCAATATTGGAAAACAAACTATTCTTTTTCCCACTTAAAGAGCAAAAGCAAAAAGTATGGTTGAGGCAAGGAGAAAACTGAAATCGTGCTTGCTGTTTGAACAGCCATTCCAATTAAAAAGCGTTCTGGGACTGGTGCACAGCCGGCCACCACAGATGGTGGACATAAAGGGCTCCCCTGGGAGCACCGTAGACTCATTTCAGCAAGTACCCCTCCCACAGCGGCCTGATCAATAGGTAGCCCTCACCTCTTTGAGATTTCAGCAGGAGTTGAGGATGCTGAAAAACAGCAACACCTCTTTACCAAGATCACATTAGCCCAAACCGCAGCAGGCCCAGTGCTAGCCCCTGGCAAAGCAGCCCTCCTGGGGGCACATCAGCTAAGGGCAATGTGGTGGGGAGGCTTGCACTTGTTTCAGTCACATTTTACGAGCATTTCAGAAGCCTATTAGCACAGTCATTTTCTCTACTGTTCAGAGAACCTTTATGGGGCTCAGTGGGTCATCAGGAACATTTCCTGCTCCAGTATAAACAAAAGGAGTGAATGTAGGAGGCAAGCATAGGTTTCACAAAGACCCTATGTTTACTTCAAAGCTTAGTCCTCAGGTAAAGGAATAAGGCAAAGGTTTTCAAGTAAAACTATAGTATGAAACCTTGATTTGATAGAAATGTGAAAAATATGAAAAATTAAAAGTTAAACAAGCACAAATTGAGAATACTGAGGGCCAATTAACTCACATGTAGTGACTATAAATATAAGCTATGGTTCACCAGTTCCTTTATATTAAGAGGAGATTAAACCTCACATCTTTCAGAATACAGAAAGAAGGGCATTGCTTGACTCTCTATCATCTTCTTTCCTGGTCCTGGTCCTCATTTTACACATCATTTCTCATATGGAAGATCCCCAGATTAACAACTTTGATCATATTTAGCTCCACATATTTCACTTCTTTCATGATTTATTTATTTGAAACCAAGAATGACAGAGAAGGGAGAAATATACATAACAGGCACACACATACCTACACATGTGGGGGAGTGTGTGGGGAAGGGAGAGAGGGAAAAGAGAGAGAGGGAGAGGACTCCTATCCACTGGCTCAATTCCCAAGTGATCACAACAGGTAGGCTTAGTCCCTGCCAAAAGTAGGCAGTCTGGAACTCCATATGAATCTCCCATGTGGATGGCATTTTGATATCAGATTGGCTGTCATGGTACTGCAATGCTTGTTTTCAATTAATATGTATTTTAGTACAAAAAATGGCACCCAGTCTAAGAGGAGTGATACTGGCGTTTCAGATATGCCAAAGAGAAGATGTGAAGTGCTTTCTCTAAGTGAAAAAGTGAAAGTCTTGACAGTATGGAAAGAAAAAATAGTACACTCAGCTTGCTAAGATCCATAGTAATATCAAAACTTCTATCCGTGAAACTGTGAAGAAAGCAAAAGATAGCTATGCCAGTTTTATTGTCGCAGTTCACACTGTTAAGTTTATGACTCCAGTACATGTAAAATACTTATTTAGAGTAGAAAAAGCATGGAATTTGTATATGTTATGTATACAGAAAATATAGTATGTAAAGTTTTTAAAAACCCAAAACACAGAGAGAGAGAGAAACGGACATAGTTGAACAGTTCAGTTGATGGAACAACGTTTTTCTCACCTGGTGGTTTACTTCCCATGAGTTGAGTATCAAACCCAGGTACTCCACTGTGGAATACAGGCATCTTAACTGCTATCTTTATGGCTAGACCAAATTCCTGATTTGATTTCTGTCCTCTCTTGGGGCCTTTGAAATATATTCCTTATGGATAAGAAGGCACTAATATGTACAATGTGATATTAAGCTGTATTTCTTATTGGGCTATAATCTGAGAAGCAGGAATTGATGCAAGGAAAGAAACAAGAGATGAAGACCTAGACTAGAGTACCCTGCCTGCAGAAATAGACTATAATTGTGGACTGAATTGTTTTCAGTTGTTGCTTGAAGCTATGATTTCTAACAATGTGCCTATGGAGAAAATGGTTGAAGTTCCAGCCTGGTAGCTTGAAATATAATTAAGGTCACTACAAGTTTTCTGACAGTGTATGTAGTCACTGCATATCACAAATGTTCTTGAGCTTTTAGTGGAGGGGTTAAGGAACAGTTGGATGCAGAAACACTTGATAGGGAGAAATTCCTATGGGATCTAGCAACAAAAATATTGATGGTCCTAACTGTACTAATTTGGTACAGCAGTGGTTGGTACTGCCAGAATAGATTGGGCAGTGTAGTTGAGAGCACAATGAGTGATTAAGGAGTACAGATATATTTTTATAACAATATAGACTATCGCATGCCTGTGGAGTGTCAGGTACAGAGAACACTGAAGGGCCTCTAGCACATTTCTGTACAAAAAGACCAGTGAAGATCAAGGGCAGGAAGAAATGAGGGAATAAGCTGAGTTACAAAGACTGAGGGATGGCAGAGCAAGGTGTTTGAGAAGAGCCTATGTTGCTTTGTTGTAAAGAGATTTGGAAGTTGAGTATTTTATTAAAATTAAGCAGATTTATACAAATTTCGTATCACCTTCCACCTCCTCAGGAGATTGTGAAACTGTTAGGAACCCACTGGGTCTGGGGTGAATTCAGATAGATCTGTGAGAAATGAGACTTCACGCAACCATGTGGCAAAAAACAGAGTAGTGAAGAGAAGTGAAAGTGGAAACACAATATTTCTAATACCAGAGGCCAACTCATTTGGAAGGATTCATGGCAGCAGGGTCCTGTGACAGGTTGGGAGCAGGGTCCTGTGACAGGAAGAACCTACACATATTCATAAATTATAAACTCTTGAGTTCCAAATACAAGTTTTGTTACTGGTGGGAGTGGGGGTAGAAATTAAGGGATTGAGTTTTCTGTGTAGGCCTGGAACTAGCAAGATTTATATTTTTATGTTAGTGTGATAAAGTTTTGTTCATAATGGGAGAGGAGAGGAAGGTGTTTTTACCTATATATCTGTCTCCCTCTATTAAATTGCACAGTTCTGAATCCAGAGATTGTAGCTTACCTGCTTAGATTGGTAACACTTGTTGGCTAGAAGACTGGTATGAAGGAAGGATGTTAGTAAGTACTTCTCAGCCGATTACGTTTGTCAATTAAATCTTTGTAAGCTTTCTTTAAGCTTTTGAACAAGGGCTTACTCTTAAAATTTTGTAGGATAACATTTTCAAAGAAATATAATCTGCTTTATTCGTTGTAAAATAATTGATTGTTTTATAATGAGATTTGATTACTGTAAGTCCTTAGATGTGTGACCCCTACCAGATATGAGTAAGAAAACAACATTTTAAAAACAGAGGGAGCTTTACATAATGATAGTATCTTTTGAATTACATTTATTTATTTGAAAGACAGACCAACTGTGAGGGATGAACGAAGGCAGTAAGTGAGGGAGGAGAGAGAAAAAAATATCTTCTACTCACTAATCATTCCTCAAATCCTGTGATCGCTCACACACAATTGCTCGCGCGCACACACACACACACACACACACACACACTCTCTCTCTCTCTCTTAAGGTATGTGTGGACGATCGCCCCAGGTGATCATCATTGCAATCAACCATCTTTGGTGAGCATGGTGTTTGCCGGAAGGCTCCCTCCGGCCCTCCCATTCTGTACCCTTTAAAACCTGTAACCTGTGCGTAATAAGGCGGACATTCCTCACCAGCTTGTCTCCGGAGGTTCTCGTGGCCGAAGGCCACCGTCTGCCTCACCCTCGGTGACCTCGGGGCCTGCTGGCAGGCCTAAACCCCGAGAACTGGCGCCCGAACAGAGAGGTATGCCTTTTGTTTATTTTGTAAAGATTTAGTTTTTTGTTTATTTCTGTAAAAGGTGGAATTATAAGGAGGAAGGTGGAGACAAAGATGTCTTCCATTCACTGCTTCACTACTCAAATGCCTACAACAGTTGGCATTGGACCATGCTGAAGCCAGCAGCCAGGAACTTAAACACTCCAAATTCAATAAATGCAAAAAGCTTGGGACCAGGATTTTCAATAAGTTGTGGGGCAATATAAATACAGTAGCCACCATTGAAGATAGCTTCCAATAATCCTCAAGTCTTGATAATCACAGAAGTGTAAATGCTATGGTATCCAAATAATTAAATAATGCAGAAATGACAGTGTGAATTATTTGCATTGGAGAAAAGCTAGCTACACGAGTAGCTGGAAAAGGGGCATCCAAGCATCTCCATGAAGAGTCTCATAAGCCAAGGAACTGTAGGTCGTCCATTTATGCAACACAGAGTTTCCAGGCACTGAGTGAGGCACTGAATGTAACCTGGGTTGACATCTGGACTACAAGCTCATCAAAGACACTGCATCAGAGGCCAGTCAACCTAACATGAAGTTTCAGTCCACAGAAGCTGTGTGAGATGTGCTGGTCTATTTTTTAAAAATATATATTCATTTATTTGAAAATAAGAGTTCCAGCGAGAGAGAGAGACAGAGGAAAAAACCTTTTTTTGTGAGTTCAATTTCCAGATGACTGCAAAAGTCAACACTGCATCAGACCACAATCAGGCACTTCTTCCAGGTCTCCTGTATGGGTGACAGGAGAAAAGCATTTGAACCTTCCCCCACTGGTTTTTCCACATAAGGGAACTGAAATAACGCAAATTTCAGGGGGAATAAGTACTAAGTGATTAGCCTAGGATTTTAATTTCTACCTACAATATTATCCTTTTGTGATAATCCTCTTATCTTTCAGAGTACAACCTGTTTTTATTTTTATGATTTTGTTTAAATATTGAATTTAGTTTTAAAAATTCTATAGTTTTAAGAAGTAAAGTACATATGTAATTATTCTTATTGTTTTAAGTTTCTGTTAGTGCTGTCATCAAAACTATTAGTCAGGATGAGCTAGACTTAGTAGTGTTAACAAAAAACTCTTCCAAATTTCAACACCAGAAAGAAAAAAAGTTTATTTCTTATTCATGCTGCTTGTCTTTTATGAGTTGGTTGCAGTTCAGTTCCATGTCATATTCACTTCAGGATTTAGTCTAATGGTAAAACTTCTTGCCAGAAAATTGCCAATTGTTGTGGAAGCAGGAGCGAGAATGGCAAATATGCAGTGTTCTCAAAGCTTCTATTTGAAATATTATACACTCTTTCTCACATCTCATCATCCAAGGCAAGTTACATGCTGCCCCTTACTAGCAGGGCAGCTGAGAAGAAAGGCAATACCATATCTGTGAATAGTTATATAATTTACTAACCCTATCAATTTTTTTCAATCATTGTTTCTTTGAGAAATGTTGTATATCTTTCTGGGAGGAATATTTTCAATGTAAAATTCAGACATTTTACTCACATAAAGTAATAACAAAATAATGGTGGGAAAGAAGCACCAGCTCTGAGAAATATGTCTATGCCCTGTTATAAAGCAGTTTTCCTCAAGCGTAGTTAGGGGAACGGTGTAATTCCTTACTTCTTGTCTAGGTCCATTCCTCTCAATGACTTCCCCTTTGCCCTGCTGTCAGAGTTAACCACTCAGCCTCCTTCTGCGAGCACTGTGTGGTAGCAGAACCAATATATCTTTGCCAGTGAGGCCTCTGGGTCTTGCTGGGCTCAGTTCCTTTGTCCTGACCCTGTTGTTACTATGAACAATGAAAGCAAGTCATGCTGGTTTAATATAAAATAGTCTATTTTTTCATGCAACATTTTCTTTTGGTAAAAGATTGCTTTTCAAAATTGGAAGCAACTTGAAGAAAATCAGCATATTCAGTAAAAGCAGTGTGAAAGAGTACCTGACAGGTTACTTAGCAGTGATTCTCTCTGGAATTGGTGTTTCCTAACTTTCCATTTGGTATGTGAAAGGTGCTATAGTAGCTCTGAGCTATTCGTACTACAAAGGGAAAGCAACAGTGTGGAACATCTGAAATGCAGTTTATAACATTCAATTGATTCTTGTTTTAGCACATTTACTTTATTATAATATTTGGTGTTACTAGTGTTAAAATAGTTTATCTTTCCAAAGGAGTCTATGTACTGTTGTGAGTACAGTTCTGGTTCATGAAAATGATTGACTGAACGATTTTTTTCTTAGCTTTTCTTTCTTGTCATTTCTGCTTTTACAGCAAATCAAATGTAACCAATATAGAACCGCTTACTATGCGTGTCCACCTGAATCCTTTCAGCAGCAGCAGAGGCTTTGGGTTCCTTTTGTGGCAACATCTGCTACATAAAAAGATCCATTCTAAGCCTGCAGAATCCTGTCCTAACATTTGTTGGTTGCTTAAATCAATTCATTTAGATATAAAGGTAGATTAATACATTTTTTCCTCCAATGTCATGGAATTTTTCTGAAAACATGCCTTAATCTGTATCAGTACAAAATTAGAAAATTATTCAGACATTAACTTGTATGTGTGAATGTAGACTTCATGTATAGGTTTGTTTTTCCACATTTTGCAAAAGAATCCATTATTTATACCATTCATTATTTGTTGAATGCTAAATATATTGAATGCCAAATATGACTACTTCAAAAAGTCCTGGAAAAAGAAACTAAAGATATTTTTAGTTTGATAAAATCGATTGAAATCCCTATGTAATTTTCCTATAATATACATCTACCTTGAACTTTTTGGAGACAAATAAATCAATAGCCTTTGTTCCAACTAAAAAAAATAGCAGCTAAGAATGGAACAGATAGGTGAAGAATTAAAATGATTAGACAGACGATGTATCAGTTGAATTCTGTGGGAGGCATGGACATCTGAATAGAACTCAAAAGACTTTCCTAGGGATGGGTCACTGAGCTGAGACTTGAAGTATGGATAAGAGTTATTCAAGTGGCAAAACAAAAGGGGTTAGTATTGTGGCACAATGGGTAAAGCTACTACCTGCAATGCTGCCAACCCATGTGAGTCACATATCCTGGCCATTTTGGTCATTTGGAGAAGGAATTGGCTAGTCGAAGACTTCTTTTTCCTAGTCTCTAAGTCTCTTTTTCTCTATCACTCTGCCTTTCAACTCCAAATAATAATAATAAATCTTAAAAGAAAGAGCAAACATGGCAGGTAGTTTGGTCCAAGGTGACAAACACTATGTCAAAGGCTGGGGAAAAGACAGATGAGATCTTTTAGAGGAATTATTTGTTGTTCTCAGTCCCAATCTGGCTTAATTGGAGGAAGCCTAATATATGTGTGAGGGTCAAAGCTAAAAGATAAAGCTAGAAATGTAGGGACCAGTTGGAAATAGAACAAAACCTAAAATACTTTATGGTAATATTGTGTGCTTTTAGAAGAGACCACCCTCGCAATTACATAAGTTTACATACCATTCAAACCTTGCCTTATATAAAGAAGAAAAGCAAAGCATAAAATTCTCTTAAAAATTAATTTATTTGTGATGTAGAAAGATAGCTAGATACATATACAGTGCTTCCCATCGGTTCATTGATTTCATAAATATCTCTAACAGGTGAGACTAGACTGACATAAAAGTATGAGGCAGCCACACAGTCTAGTTCACATGAGTGGCAGGGACCTAGTAACTCGAGCCATCACTCCGCTTTGTAGGGACTGTATTAGCAGAAAGATGGAGTCAGGAACTGGAGGCTAGGGATTAAAACTGGGTCTTCTGAACTGGGACACAGATGTCTTAACTAGTAGTGTAACTGCTGGACAAAATGTCGACCCCTTTCTGTAAAAATCTGTCACAAACTTAGGTGATAATTAATGATTATTTAAAGTGAATTAATATTTGCTTGATAGCTAATATTTATTTGATATTTACTAGGAATAATTAGCATTTCGAAGTAAGTTTAGTTTAGAACTGTATTGGATAAATAGAATGATCTCCTGCTGCTGTTTGGATGTAGTTATGTCCAACAAAACTCAAGATGAAATTTAGTTGCAATGTTTGCCCATAGTGCCTATAGGATGGTCAATGTCTCATGGAAGACTGAACTAGTTTTCTTGAGAGTGAGTTGTTATCAAGTATTTATTCCCTTTGTTCCCTCTTCTGTGCTTAGCCAGTCTCTTTCTGTGTATCTGCTATGCGTGGAGCAGTGCATGGCCTTCAATAGAAGCTAAACAAGGATTAACACTGCGCTATTGAGATTCCAGAATCGCAAACCAAAAAAAACTTTGTTTATTTAACAATTACTCAGTTTATCAATTCTATTATAGCAATTAAAAATAAACTAAGATAATTGGTATGAGGGTATTATGACAGTATATGAAATTGTAGTACAAGCTTTGAAACTTGGAAACAGAGAATTCAATAATTCAAAAACTGGCAGCTTTTGAATGAGCAGGTGGAAAAAACTTGAATGCTGTAAATGGAATCTTGCAGGTGATTATGGTAAGGTCTTGTAAGAGAAAATATTTTTTTTCCAATTGCTGATTTTGTTACTCCTCTCTTTGTAAGATGAAGGATTGCTAGCAGTAGTTTTGAATGATTTTGAAGAGATTTAAATGATTGTAAGACAGAATGGAAAAAGCTCTAGATTTTGATGTTTTAGGGAAGCTTTTAGCTACATCTTCATTTTGACTATCAGAATTGTTGTTGTCAAGCAATATTCTGTTCTCCAATTTTGCAGTCATATTTTGCTTCTGCGTATTTCCTGAATTGCTGAGAAGCCATTAATAGGTTCATTAACCTTGTTTTTCAGATATTTTTGGCATCAAATCTAAAATGTTCCTTATCTGTTGTATGACATAAGTGATCAAGACCAGATTTGATGGAATCTCAGCTGATTTCTTCTTTTGAACCATCACCTCCTGTTCCTGTCTAAATCCTTTATGCCACTTTGCCCCCAGAACAGGAGCTGTTGCACTCAGGCTGCTTCGCCCACAATGGCAGCTTTCTGATTCTTCCCGAGATCTCTGTCTTGGTTGCAGAACTGAGAGCATGATTCCAGTCCGTTGGCAATTTTCATACCAAAGAGAGGGACTCAGCAGATTATTAACCATTTGAAAAAGTGAAGGCAAAAATCTTTTCATTGCACAGCCTACTTGTAGTTTTTCATTGCCCGTGCCACTGGATCCCAAGAGTAGTGTTGCTGATATGGTAGCTGGTTTTGCCATGACATTCCAATTGGGAATCCTGGAAGCTTCTAATCTCTTAGCTCACAGTAACTGTAGCCAGGCAGCACAGTAAAAGAGAAGTGCTCATACATTTCTTTAAATGAAAGTCTTTATGGTTGAATGTTCTATCCTGGGTCCTACTTTAAGGGAGAAAGCTGAGTGGGAACAATAATATAACGGAGAAGAACTAGTTGGAAGAATAAGCTCAAAATGATTATCAAAGTGTCTGTTAAGGATCACTCATTTATAGTACAAAAATGATCATAGTAGGAATGACAGAAGACAATAATTTATGGGTGAACCGAGAAGTAAACAGATGTGTGTAGAATAAGTAATGGCATAAATTGCACCAAGGAGTTAAAAACTTTTACCATGTACTCTAGGTTAAGTACATTATAGCAATAAGAATGTGGTTTGAAAATCATAGATTGTTGAGAATAGACTTTGGTCAGCTTCTAATATACTCTTCTCTTTGATGCCCGTTTTTTTAAATATGATCAATTTTCTAACATGGAAATCTTATTACATTTTCTGCAGCCAATAAAATATTTTTATGCCTGCACAAATACTTTCTTGATAGTGATATTTGTATAGCATATTGAAAAACTATTTTAATTTCAGGAAATCTTTGTTTTTCCTTTTAAACTGTCTTTGCATAACATAGCAGAACAGTGAACATTTATCATTTTTTTCTTACATTTCTAAACATCTTCCAGGCTGCTGTGTGAAAGTGTATTACTGTTCCTTTTATAATGTGTCTTTGTGGTGTATTTCAAGATGCAGTGAGGTCCAACTTACAGGAATATAACTCTGTTTTTTCTTCAACTTGATTAAAAAATTGAATGATCATTTTTAAAACTACTTGATTTTAAGAATGTAAAAATAAAGATGCTACCCCTATGGTGACATGAATACAAAAACAGCTTATGCTTTCCGTATGGCTTCTATATTAAAAAGGATTTTATTTGTAATCTTTTCAGCATTTTATAAATTCATGGATTTTCATTGACTTTTTAAACGTGAGCTATTTATGTGTTAGTGAAGTTTTTCTCTTGCATAGAAATTTATTCTAAGGATCACTGCAAAGTTCAAGGATCACTGTGAAGTTCAGGATGAATAATTCTTAGGAATGCGTGTTGTGAGGTCCGCTGTAATTCATAGTAAGTGATGAGAGGGCTGCTCTTTTAATTATTTATTACTTCAGTGATGTGATATTTGATTTATAATATGAAAAGTCATGCATATAAGAATTCTGTTTTATCTAGTTTCATACTATCTTAATATGACATATAACTTTAATGTTTCCCACCATTTATTTTCATATTTCAAGGACTATGAAAGAAATCTTTACTTTGGTAAATGCAACACAGAAGATATCTTATTAAAAAGATGAACAGAACATTTAAATTATCCTCATTTACATATGTAAGAATATAATGGAACTACTGTTTTAAGTAAAAAATTAGGAATAAATAGAAAGCTGCTTGAAAGAAGTCAAGACATTGTGTACCAGTCATTGCTCAAATATTTCAAGATGATTGTATTTGATGAGTAAACTCTCAAAATAAAGATTTCCATTAACTAACGTAAAAATAACTGTTCTAAGTAATCTTATGCATATGACATTGAGGATAATAATGGGAAAAATGTATAGTTTCTTTAGTTACCATTTAGTACGGACTGTTTCCTAAGGCACGTGCTTTTACTAAGAACCACTTACCATATCTTGTCTGGTAAAAATATAATTTCTACCTCAAAGTAGAAACTGAGAATCAAGTGATACAACTGATATCATGTGCTTTGGGTAAAAGCCATCTTAGATTTAGTAATCTTGCTAGAGTTATAAGCCAGTTCAGACCATCTGAAAAACAACCAAGTTCAGCAAAATCATGCTTCAACACTATAAACAGCTAAATACTAACATGAAACTAGACACGAGACAGCTGAATAGTAATCTATAGCCATTTTGAGGTGCATAGAACCTGACTGAATATAAATGAAAATTGAAATGTCTATGAAAAAGTCACAGGATGCAGTTAAGAACCTGCATTTTCCTGTTAACATATTGGTTAATCAATACCATGTCAATTAAGGCCATAACATTGTAAATTATGGTTGATGTTATGTTGGGGCTTTTAATTGATTGGAATGATACTTTGCCGGCTTTACCTTCAGACCAGAGATGGTCTTACCAAGAAAACGTTGAACTCACTAGGATAATAAGATGCTGGACTCTATGCTTGATAAATACTTCCAATGAAAGAATCTCAACTGAATTTGAACTGTGGTAATGGAACAAAGTGGAGAAATCCACCATGAGGAGAGGGTTCGGGGAGGGCTGGGGGGAATCCCAGTGCCTATAACACTGTGTCACATAATGCAATGCAATTAATAATAATAAAAAAGAATATAATGTTAACCAAAAAGGGATATAATGAAACTTTTGAGGCTGATTGTTATGCTTGTTACTTAGTTACACGCCAAGTTTCATGGATACATACATATGCCTAAATTTAATCAATATCTATCACAAAGATGTACAGTTTATTACTGCAACATTCACAGCATGAACAGAATTGGAAAGGAAGGTAATGTGCAACTGAGAAAATAAGAAATGAGAGAGACAAGATAAAGATTATAAAAGCAGGTTGGCCAGAGAGAATCTCTTTATTCTGAGGAAGGGGATTGACCCAAAAGGCTCACTGCTTCATCTGCTATTGAACTGCTCAGGGAGTCAGATTACAGGAATTAATATGGCATAAGCTTTGTTAGCTATCCCATATTGAGGTTACCCTGCAAGTCTTAGTGATCAAGTGTGACCTCAGTGCAAAAGTCAGTATATGTATCTCAAGGACACCCTTAAAGTAGATAATTGCATAGTCTAGGACTGTTGCCCAGTTGTAGACTCTCACCCTCAGGCCTCAAACTTGTGCTTGGACTTTGCCCATTTGCAATCTGTTTTCTGCAGTGTTGGCTCTCAATCTTTGACATCAACACTTTGTGAATTCAAGATTCCAGTCACAGTCTGCTTTGCTCTTCCTTATTAGGCTTTGTTGATTATTTTTTTGTGTCTTAGGTTTTTGTTTTATACAAACTGCCTGCAGCATCTATCATGCGAACTATACTTCAAGATAGATATATGTTGAAAGCAAGTATATTGGCACAGCAATATTAATTTCATGTAAAGACTTACCTTTCAAAGTCCCTTCACTAGTTATTTACATGATGGGTAAATCATTCATGAATATTTTGCTCACATTTCTGCATGTCTCATCAGTGGAGGGTTGGATAGTAGGTTCCTTTGTTCAAGGATATTCTTTTGCAGTTAAAAATCTTATTTGTTTATTTGGAAATGCAGTTAGTGATGGAGGGATCTAAAGGGAGGAAAAAGAGAATGAATGAATCGGCCTTCCATCCACCTGTTTGCTCACTTCGCAAATGGCTTCAATGGATGGGTCTGGACCAAGCTGGAGCAAGGAGCCAATAGTCAGTAGCCAGTAACCAGAGTCAGGAATGCTTATACTTGAGCCAGCTTTTGGTGCTTTACCAGGCACATTAGTAGGGGGCTGGATCCAGAGTAGGGAAGCTGTGATTCTAACTGGTGCTTTGATGAGGAATAACAGAGGTTGAAGGTTGCAGCAGCTCATTCTTCCATAACTGGCTGTGTAATGAACAATCTTGGTAGGCTAGAGATAATGCCTCCCTCTAAAGCAAAGTGCAGGTCTCTTTATTGTTTAGTATGATGAAGATAAAGTCTTCCTCTTTAATGAATGGTAGACATGCTTATCACCCATCATGAAAGATCTAAGTTTCTTAAGCACAGGGTTTCTCTTTGGTAAGACAACCCATGATGTGTGCCTTCTAGATATCACTCTGAGAACTGAGTTTGGGGAATGTTGTGCCAATATTAATACTTTACTTCAGTGACTGTGAAGAATAAACAAATCTTTGTGTCTGTGGCAGGTGTTTTGTGAGGCTGAGACCACCTAGCATATTTGATTTCCTGTGTGGTAATATCTTAGACCTTTCAAAGTTTTTGATGGTCTTGATGCAAAGGACAAGATGCTGAAGGAGGTTGTGACATTCTAAAAAAGAAAAAATAACTTTATAAATAATAAGTAGGACTTAAAGGCATGCCATCAGGATCAATTCCTGATTTGCTGGTCAAATTATGTGATCAATGATGTAATAAATGATCTTCCACTTTACTACTGGTTAATTAGTATGGGAGGTTACTGCAGTGTGATGACTAGAAATTAAGTTAAAAGGCAGCTGTCTGAATGATGTCCTGGCTGTTTCTAACTTTAGTATGAGCAGGAAGACTATGTGAGGGGGTAGCCTCAGGGTCACACCACCACAACATTATTGTGAAAATTTACCCTGTGAAGGCTAGAAGTTACAAACATCAAGGAAGAAAATGTTCAGCAACCATGGGCAGAAATCAGGCAATTGACTAGTAATTCAATTAATTTTCTTGACAAATGAGGAAGTAGGATATGCAAAGCCAGTTAAAGAATAATGACAATAGTTGGGATTATTTCAGCTTAGTGTGTATGCCAGTCTGAAAATTCAGAATCCTAGGATTGACTCATGGTTTCTGAATTTTATACTCATTTTAATCCTCAAGTGGCAACCTTAGGCCATCTTTACTGATTCATTTTCCAGGTGGCCACCAAGCCAGAAGGGAAATGTTAAGAACACAAACCAAATTCTGATTGGGAGTCTCGTTTGACCAACGTGGTCTCAGATGTAAGGATAATAATGCCTCCTTTGTTGGATACACTGGTTGCCAGTTCTCCTGTGTTCCATACAGATCAAGCACGAGACA